CTTCAGCTGCAGGGTGGAGCCAGAGAGATGCGCAGGGCATTTCTTGCCAGGGGCTGGGTTCGGAGCAGGCTCCGGCAGTGCTGGGAAGAGGCTACAACCACCCCAAATTTCGCCACAGCTCCACTCCCAGCCCCACACCACCACCTGGTGCAGCCCCAGTTGAACACCCTACCTCCACCCAAGTGCCAGGAAAAGGTGGGGCTGCACCAGGCAGTGGTGCGGGGCTGAGAGCGGAGCTGCAGCAAAATCTGGGGTGGCTGCAGCCTCCTCCCAGCACCGCCGGAGCTTGCTCTGAGCCCAGCCCCTGGTAAGAAAAGTTCCGCGCAGCGCCAACTCCACTCTGCAACTGAAGCCTGCCCCGTACTGTGCAGATCCGGGGGCACACGCTCCCCAGCCCCCCCAGGGTACAAGCAGCGGTGAGAGCTGCCCCTACCCCACAAGCCGCACTTCCACCCTGCATCCCCCTGCCCTGGCTGGCTCACCACAGGGGCCACTGATCTGCACCCCCATGCCACTTCCCTCCCCTCTCCCCTTCCAATTTACCAGGCTGGAGGCAGCTGTGCTCCATACTGTGCTGCTGCAGCTGTGCACAGCACAGGCATTTATCAGCCAAATTACTGGACCCATGGGGCCAATATCTGATCTAGGCAATTTTCTTTATATCAGTATTGATTTGATATTAGACCGATGTAACAGTGCACGTCTAGATTCAAGGCTTATGAACTGTACTCAGTTCAGTGTATTCTTGATGAAAGCAAGGTTTTGAATTTAAAAAAAAGTGACAATATACACATATAAAAGCCACCACTTAATACTCATGCCCACTATTAGTTATATCTAAAATTAAAACTACTTTACATACTGCATGATCCTGGTTTGTCATATCATATTTCAGTGCAAATGATTTTACTTTTCCTACATAGACTGCATTGTAAAATTTTATAAGATCTCCTCTCTCCTCTCCTGATTCACTGGAGTTCTCTAATGTAGATCTTAATGATGAACAGCATGCTTTCCCAGAAGAGTCTATGATAACAAGAAAAATGAGCAGAGAGAGGCAGTTAGCAGTGTTAGCCTTAAGTCAAGCAGAAGGCAAGGACTAATGGTTTCAGATCAGACAAAGATGGGCATCATGAAAGCTTATGCCTTTCTGACACAGTCTCTGAAGAAGTGATTCTCAACTAGGTTGCTGGGGGATCCGGGGGTGCTTGAGATCCTTTCAGGTGTGCCTCAGGATGCCACTCAATATTAGCAGTCAGGTGTGCAAACATGATTCACAATATAAACCCAGTAATTTTAAGTAATATAATATAATATGAAAAATATTCTGATCTGTTGTTTTTTTGAGTTCTTTGCAATACAGAGATTGCTCTATTTATTTCTGTAGTCTAAAAATGAGTGAAAACTGAGCTGGCATTTTCCATGGGGTGCCTTGTGTCTAACTAGGGGTGCCTCAAGTCCAACAAGGTTGAGAACTACTCTAAAAGGTGCTATCTAGCTCTGCTTTCTATAAGAAAAATGCAGCAGTTTTCAGCATCAGGTCACTGACACTAAATTTTCAGATACAAGCTGATAATAAGCAGCAGATTATATTAGAAATTAAGGTTCTACTTGGCAGAGTTAATAAAATCAACTGATAGCTATTATAGCCTATTATGTTAATCATTTATTTAAAAAAAATTATAAATGGAGCTTTAATAAAGTGTAACCATAGTGTCCCTTTTTACACATTTTGCAAAGGGTTGCAATTTTTCTTAGGAAACTCAGCATATGGACAAAAGTACTTTTTAACTACTTAAAAACAGATGAGGGAACTGCTTGTTGGTAGCTGTTACGTCTACATGCTCCTGTAGCAATACAAATTAGCTAAGCCCAACTAGAACAGGGTTATATTTGCAACCATACTGCTGTGCTTGCATTACTATAAAATCATGGAGACCTAACAGTTACAGTGTAACAGTTTATATGAGGAACATCTGATACTGATATGTTCTAATATTATAAAAGCCTAAGTCCATCTGTAACACTTTATTTGCACTCTGATTGGCTGATGGAAACAGCCAATCAGAGTGCTCCAAGTATGGGGGAGTGCTGCCATGATTCCGAAGCGGTGCCAAGGACTGGACAGAGGGTGCCGGAGCCAGGGCAGTAGCACTGGCCTTGGCTTCCCCACCCCACTCCCTGCAAGAGGGTGTTAGGTGGCGGCACTCCATTCCAGTCCCCTACCCTCCACCCTGTCATTCTCGACAGACAATTGGCTAGTCACTTTATAATCTCATTTATTCTAATCTATTGAGGCTCTAATTTCAATCCAGGAAATAACCATAATCAAGGGACAACACTTTTTTATGGTGGATAGAATCAGCAACCTGAGAGTAAAGATCTGCTTTACCTTCTGTGGCACGCAACATGTACTATGAAAACACCAGATAGCTAAATCAGGTGCAGACAATGTCTATCAGTCATTAGTTAAAATTCATTTCTATAAAAAGAAGAGTACTGCCAATCTGGATTAGACCAATGGTTCATCTAGTCAAGCATCATGTCTCCAGCAGCAGCAAGTAGTAGATGCTTTAGAGCAGGGGTATCAAACTTCCTTGGACCCCAGGCCAGATCTAGATTGCAGGGCTTGTCATTGGCCCAATTCAGACCCACCTCCAGCAACAGGGCAAGTGGTGGCAGTGGAATGGCAGTTAATGCAGCCATTGTTTGCCCCCCAGCTACTGACACTTGTCCTCAACAGAGCTCGGTACCCAAGCCTATGGTGACAGGACTTGCCTCCAAATCCCTAACCTCTCTAGGAGGTCTCTGAGCTGGGTAAAATGGCTCCACAAGCTGCATCTTTGACACTCCTGCTTTAGAAAGTATAATGTGCAGGGCTTGTCTAGTGTAATCTATCCCCTGTCATCAACCATCATTGTTTTAGGTATGTCAGAAACATCCCTGATGGTTCTATTTAACAGCTATCAGTGGTCCTGTCTGCTATGGCTTGTCTATTATACCATTATAATATATAATATTATTACACAAAATTATTCCAAAAATACTCCATTGTATTATAAAGTAAGGCATGTAGGAGTAAATTTAGTCGGGCTTCTGGCCTACTTGACTAGAAAAACAGACAGAGGCCAGAAGTGCTGATACTGCTTATTTCAGTTACATGTTTAGAGATAAGAAATTCTGCATGTCTTATTACCCTGTGCACACATGTCCAATTAAGTAAACTTGTTTTAGTTTCTCCAAGGTCGTATTTTTTTTTCTCTATTGGTCTTAAGTATAAAAATGCTTGAAAATTTAGAGAGGAGAACTCCTTTGAAACAGACAAGTGGCTGATTCCCCTTGCTGTATGAAATCCTCCCTGTGATCACAGTATAGCCCTAAATAAAGAAAAGCTGGCTCTGTCAGTTCTGATTCAACCACAACGCAAAGTTTGATTTCTTCCACAGTTTGGTGCCGTGACTCGGATACAGATGCCCGGAGTGATCAGTTGGGACACAGACATCTCTTCACTGAAGCCCTGGTGCCAAACCAAAGTAAGAGACCTTCTGAAATCTCTATTGGGGCTTTTCAGTGAGAGGCTGTCTCTGTGTCTTCCTGATTCACTGCTTGAGGCTTACTCTATCCAACCTTTTTGCTGCCAGAATTTTCAGACCCACTCTGTAAGTAGTAACTGTGAGTAGATAGAGTTAAGGTTAAAGACTGTGTTGCCGTTGTCAGTAAATGTGTTTCCCCATGTGAATTGAGTTAAGTTCCTTTTTGGAACTAGGAGTGAAAACCTTGTGCGGCTGCCCCGACTTGTTCTGTGTGCTCTTTGAAAGCAAGGGTGTAAGGTGGAAACTCTTAGAGTGTGAGTGTTTTCCACAATAAGTGTTGACCAAGGCTGGGACTAGAGAAATGCTCTTGAACCTCGTGCCTCAA